ACTGAAAGAATAGTGGGAAATATACCATACCCAGCATCCTTCATGTCAATGTCTCCGATGACAACATTAGTGGTCTTGCCGCCTTTCCCAGGATGACGCTTGTCATAGCGATTAGGACAACTAGGAGCCCAATGATCAGGATCTCCACACACATGACAAACACCTTTCTTCTTGTCACTCTTCTTCTTGAAGTTCGTGTGTTGTACAGCCTTGTTCTTCCCATCAAACTTTGCTTTACCATCAAGCTTGCCCTTGTTCTTGAACTTGTGGGACTGGAAGTTTTTCTTCTATACTAGATTGGCACTAGATCCTCCCTCAATACCTCGATCACGTGTGTCCTTTGCTCTCGCCTTTTCTTCCACATCAAGAGTACCAATGAGATCCGGGACGGAAAATTCCTGTCTATTATGCTTCAGTAAGGTAGCAAAGTTCCTCCACGAAAGAGGAAGCTTAGTGATGATACCCCCGGCAACAAACTTGTCCGGTAGGATACAATTGAAGTGCTCAAGTTCTCTAGCAAATGACTGTATCTCATGAGCTTGCTCAACCATGGAGCGCTCTTCAGTCATCCTGTAGTCATAGAATTGCTCCATGATGTACAGCTCAGTGCCAGCATCCGAGACCCCAAACTTGGCCTCGAGTGCATCCCACATATCTTTTCCATTATCAATTGACGCATAAGCATCAACTATGTTCTCACCAAGAACACTCAAGAGAGCAGCCTTAAACAAAGTATCCATTTTCTGAAAAGCTTGTGCCTGTTGAGCATCAAGTTCTCCTTCAGGTCTACCAAGAGTGGCGTCATAGCAACTCATGGTTTGAAACCATAAGACTGCTCTCACGCGCCACCTCTTATAGTGGATACCCTCAAACATAGGAGGTCTCATGGAAGCAGCAAAACCATTCGAGGTAAATTGCCTATAATAAGGTTTTTGGATTGTTGGAAATATGAACAATTTACCGAATGATTTTATTAACAGAAATAGTAGATAAAGCATGACTAGTATAACAGTGATAAAACAAGCCATGCGATTTGACAAAGAGAAGGTAAACAACATGTTCATATATGAACCGTAACTAAACATATCTAGAGCAGACAGTATAGCAGGTTGCATATATGAAATAGAGCCTAACGTGTCTAGGACAAACACTAGAACAAGGAACTGTTGCAGGACTTCTAATAGGAAAAATAAGAACACGTACTGGACAGCAGCAGGAGCAGAGGCACTGGACTTGGGGTCGGTGTCTTCCATGTCGTCGAGGAGGTTGTCGATGTCGGGGAAGTAGTCGTCGTTGGGGAAGTAGTCGTCGGAGTCCGGAGCATCCGTGACGAAGAAGTCAGTAGTCGCGCAGAGCGCTCCCCAAAAACCTTATCACCCTTCTCCCGTACAGGACTCAAAAGGTGCGGTTTCGGAGGCCTACTGTCCCGACCTGCGGTGCACGCCGCAAGCCGGGATGGGGAAGATCGTAGCAGCAGCGCAGTGCTCAGGAACCGGTGGCGATAGGAGGAAGTAGTTCTGGTGCGTCTCTCTGAGAGGAGCGACCTCTGTTTTATAGGCGCAAGAGAAGGAAGCGAGAGGCTGCGCCGGGAGCTGAAGGGAACGCGGGAGATGAAACGAACAGGCAGCAGCCGAAGAGGCGCGCCGTTCGGATTCAGTGTCCACTACAGAAAAAAGTTTCAGCTTCCGAGTGAACTTTCCTATACCCATAGTGCGTGGCAAAAATTTAGACATCGGCTTGGCTCATTCCCGCAACCCGCGGCGCGTCGTGGCGAGGAGTGGCGTGGCGGGCGGCGAAGGAGGAGCGCGCGTGGATGTCCCTCTTGTTCTCATGCTCATACATGTGGGGAAAGAACCTCCCTTATAACGAGGTCCAACTTCCTCTAAACTAGCAATGTGGGACTAAACTTTAGTTTCACCTCTTGCCTTGCACGAATGGGCTGCGTGGGCCTCTAGGATTTATTAGAAATTTCTGAAACTGCTATTGGGCTGGCCCATAATAGACAAAATTCCAGCAGTACGCCGGCATCCGAAGCAGGACAAGACAGACAACGTTATTCGGAAGTGGGATTCTAATAGAATCTGCAATAGATGATTAAAATACATCACCAAAAAATGCTAGATGTAAAATGAATCAACAGCGCGGCAGCCACTCCAACAAATGATGTAAAAACCGTTGGCTCTAAACTTAACTGAATTTTACCGTTGAAACTAAATTTTACTGTCGAAACTGATTACACTGGTAGCAGAGCACTGCACTAGTAGTTTAGGCCACTCAAGCACTAATAGCAAAGAAGCAATGATCTAAAATCAGCAACCACTTGAGCAAGGAACACACTAGTATAGAGTAGCCAAAGCAGTAGCTCGCACAGCAGCAGCAGCAGCGCCCGGAGCGACAGGTAGAATTCCTCGGAAGTTTGAGCTTTTTGTTGAACTGATTGGTGCGCGTAGTTCTACACGGTATCAAAGTCAAGAGGTCCGCCCCTCTTATACCTCGTCGGTCGCCGCTCGTGACTGCTATCGCTGCAACACTGCTGCTAGCCGCCATGGGAGAGGTGAGACGATGGGAGGCGAGGGACAGCCGATGGCGGAGATGAAGATACGCGGTTTGGCCTGACGACGCCTCAGATTGAGAGAGGGATTGTGTCGTGCAAGTATTGGGAGACCCGTAGGGATTGCCAAATGTTGGTGGCATGCCAACATATATTGGCTAGCCAAATTTTATCAGCCAGGCAGGCATGCCCTAGTGACGTAAGATTTTATGCCAGATAAATCGTACTACATTAACAAACCAAATATTAGTCAAAATCTCGTCTTAGCTAAACTATCATGCAATATGATTAGCCCACGCAGGCCATCCCAGCACATCGTCGTCAGTCCTCCCCGGGCCCACCAACACCTACCTCCGGAGAAAATGGACTGAAAACCGGGTGCCAAATCTTATCATGTCAAACTAACTACAGTAGCCAGACAACTAACTAATCGCCAGGTTAAGGTATCTACCAGTACCTCTTTCCAGTCCGTCCGCAACGCAGCGGCCGTCGACGAGTGACGCCGCCTACTCCTAGTTTAATCCGCAGGCCGATGACACGCACGCTAAAACTTGCCACGCGACCTGGCCTAACCCGTGCGCGCCTACGTGTGCACCTGACCTGTCCTCGTTTAGATCTCGCGACGTAAACAAAACTTAATCCAGGCTCAGCGTCGTGCCAGCTGAGGCAGGTCTTCCAAAGTTGTCACTTTCGAAAAGAATTAGTGTAATGTCAAAACGACCGTGTGATGCGAAATCGTGGGGCGGAAGGGGCAGTGCGACGACGTACGCGGCGCCTCCGGTTGGCCTGCCGAGATTGTTTAATCACGGGGCCGTTTTGAGCTCGTGGCTGTGAAATTTCGGAGCTGTGTTTAGTTTATCTAAAAATTATGGTCCATATATGAGATCAATAGAACATTGATACAACCGGCTGAACGGGCTCACGGACACAAAACCGACTCTAAACAAACGAGGGACTATAACTATGACTATATACCTCGTATTTTTTTTTCTAAAAGCCGTAACTAAACTTGTCATCGTCACGCGATCATTATGCTTCCCCCATAATGAACAACATCGAGAAATGCAATAACTGAGCTACCTATGAAGAATCTCGTTGGAATTGTGCTAAACGTATCGGTGTGGGGATCAACCCGATCTAGGCAAGCATCGACACTAGTATCGCCGGACCAAGCCGACAATTTATCTCGCAAACAGTTGAAAAAAGAGCTTGTTGAAGAAGGTGAAGTTATCGCCGATCAAACACATAGAACCACACCGTTCACGAAAGAATTGGGGCCGAAGAACCTTTATTACAGTGATATTGTCATCGCCTTAAACCAAGACAGAGGCAGTACTTAGGTAAGTCTAGGTGTACCCTATTTAACTAGCTGTCATAAAACTAGAAGCTATTTCAAGACAACTGGAATGGCTTTCTGGAGTTAAAACATCTCAATGTTTTTGGAACATATTGTCCTCGTTTGATTGCTATGAACTTCTTATAAATTGCGTATCATTCTCCTGGGCTAGACTGCTTCAGAACTTCAGATTATGTGCTCATTGAGTCATTGGAGAAAATATCTGGTGCTACGAGAGCGCCTCACATTAGGTGCTCACGCGCGACCTCGGTCGTTGATATCACGGATGTGGACCAAAGTGTCATTTTGGAAATGTCTGGGGGATTTTCTGCAAAACATTTATGCTGGATTTGTCTTTCTTGTTTCTCAATGTGCATTTGAAATTTTGATTTGAAATTTTTAGGGATTGTACATTCATGTCATGGTAACATCCATAATTTTTTCAATTCTTTTGAAACATTTAAATGTGCATTTTGGAAACTGGGAGCACCTAATGTGAGGTGCTCCTGTGGCACCCGAATTCATTGGCCCGCCAATTCTCATATAAGTATATCAACAATTGATGTATTCCTTTCTATCCATAGTAATTATCGTTTAAGCAAATGTATGTAACATTGAAATACATCTAGATACATCTGTTTGAACGGTAAATAATATGAATCGAAGGGAGGGAGTACTAGCACGTGCATCATGTATTCATCTATGTATGACACATCAGTTTGACAGTGATCAGTACATGAAGATTATGTGGCTGTGAGGGTTTGTACAAAAAGAAATCAATTGGTTTCATTAATTTCCTTCTCAAAATATACAGTGAATTCATACATCAACAACATCAAACATCTCACACTTAACAGTTAACACACATGACCCCCTAATAATTAATTAACAACCCTCCCATTTCCCCATTTTACCCTTTACACAGTGTCATGGATGGAATGGACCTTTCAAAATAGGCACCATCCATAGCCACTGCACCGCCCCAAAAAATGGTGTATGTATGTACATACATTTTTGGTACATACATACGTATGTATTTGTGTGCCAGATATGTACGTATGTACGCACAGCCCTACGGCCAACAGGCCAAGTATACGGACGCCGTGTAGACGACTAGTCAGACAGACGTGGGTGCGTGCCTGCATGCATGGACGGCACGATCACACGCTCCGAGTGAGCTCCTTGGAGCCGCCGCGTGGCGCCGGCTCCTCGGGTCATGAGCTCCCGCAGGCTGGGCTTCAGGCGCGCCCGGTAGAACTCCTCGTACTCGGCCGCGCCGCCGGACTTGCGCCGCACCTCCACGACCACCAGCTCCGGCGTCAGCTCGTAGATCTCCGCGGCCACCGCCAGCGCGCCGTTAGCGCCCTCGCGTGTTCCCTCCATGATCACCGACCCGTCCTCCCGAGCCCGCACCGCCATGCCCGCCGCCGCGGCCGTCCGCTCCAGCGCGGCCAGGATCTGCTCCACCGGCGCCGCCGACACGAACCGCGCAGCGTTCTGCTGCTGCTCGCCCTCCCCGCTGCTCCCCTCGCCGCCGCCGTCCTCGAACAGACCCGAGAGGTCGAACCCCGGGGAGAAGGAGATGAGGTCGAACGCGTTCAGGCTCGACCGCCGCCGCGAGCTCCCGCCCAGCTGCCCGAACCTCCCTTCCAGCAGCGACGGCGCCGATCCGCACGACGTCATCCCACCCGAGATTTTTTGTTGCTGATCGGTCGCGTCACCGTAGTCGCTGCCGTCCGCCGTCCGCGGGGTGTCGGGCGGCGAGGTGGGCGCATAGGCATCGCCGTCGTCGAGGTCGAAGCAGGTGAAGGAGCGGTCGTCCTCGATGCGGAAGGAGAAGCGGCGGAATCCGACCTTGAACCATTCGTTGTCCATGATCTCGTCGATGGTGGCGCGGCGCAGCGGCTTGGTGTCGAGCACGCGGTGCATGAGGCGGAGGAGCTCCGGGGAGAACCACTTGGGGCAGCGGAAGTCGCCCCTGTGGATCTTGCGGTACATGCCGACGAGGTTTCGGTCCTGGAACGGTAGGTAACCGGCGCCTAGGACGAAGAGCACGACGCCGCATGACCAGAGGTCGGCCTTGGCGGCGTCGTAGCCGCGGCGGGAGAGCACCTCGGGGGCAACGTACGCCGGGGTGCCGCAGAAGGTGTGGAAGAGCCCGTCGTGGCGCATCTGCTCGGCGACGGCGGAGAGGCCGAAGTCGGAGACCTTGAGGTCGCCGGCGTCGTCAACGAGGAGGTTCTCAGGCTTGATGTCCCGGTGGTACACCCCGCGCGCGTGGCAGAAGGCGACGGCGGAGACCAGCTGCTGGAAGTAGCGCCGGGCCTCGCCCTCCGGCAGGGGGCCCTTGGCGACCTTCGCGAACAGCTCGCCGCCGCGCACGTACTCCATGACGAAGTAGATGCGGAGCTTGGTGGCCATGACCTCGTAGAGCTGCACGATGTGCGGGTGGCGCACGCGGCGGAGCGCGGCGATCTCGCGCTTGATGTGCGCCGTGAGGCCGGACTTGAAGACCTTCTCCTTCTCGATCACCTTGATGGCCACCTCCTCGCCGGTGGCCACGTTGCGCGCCTGGTACACCTTGGCGAAGTTGCCCTGCCCCAGCATCTTCCCCACCTCGAAGCGCCCCAGCAGCAGCGCCTTCTTCCCCTCGCGCTCGCGCCCGCTGGCCCCGCCGGCCATGGCCCTGCCGCTGCTCCCCTTGCTTGCCATCCGCGCCATTGATCCACGAGCAAGAATCAAATGAAAGAACTTCACTAGCTAGCTAACTGCAAAGAATGGAGCGAGAGGAGAGAATTTCCTTCAAAAAAATTTGAAAATTTCCCTTCGACAAAAGAATGCGGAGAACTGAATGGGGGGAGAGGAGAGAATAGAATGGAGACATGGGATGCCGTTTAAATAGATGCCCCGAGGAGTGTGGTGCTTCGCGCTGGACTCTAAAGGCAAAGAGTTTCAAAAAGAAAAAACTCTTAAAGAAAAGATTGACTTTTTTGGTAATGTTCTCTTTTTTCATTAGTCTGCATGAACAATTCTTATTGGTGAGATTTTGCATTTCTTTACTCCATTGTATAGTGAATTAACGCGCAAATAAGTTTTCGTGTTCTCAAGTCAATTGATTTTCCTTTTTGCATTGTAGAATTTGCCTTCTTGCACAGTTAGAGTATCTGAATATGTGACAGCCTAGAGCTAATTTGGGCATACATGATGAGAGGCCGATCCAACCGTTCATTTGTGGATTATGATGCTATATTGGCCGTCGGTTCCGAGTAAGGATCTTGATCTGCAGATGATCAGTTCAGAGTTCTCATTTCTGCTATGATGGTACTGTTATTTAGTCGGAAAATAGTTAGATGTCAAATCCTCATTTGACAATTGGATGGAAACTAATATGAGTCCAATTCTGATTGGACCAGATGGTCGGTGCAGTATGACATTTCAACATTTGACAGGCACATTGTTGCTATCCTCCACGTAGGAGGAAGGTTGGTGGGTCACCACTTAAACAACAACAATTTCTTGTGTTAGTCAAGAAACTTTGGCACAGCGTCCTTAGATGCCACCTGTTTGTCCTGGCAACTACTTAACTCTTCCGAGATCTGGAAAGGAAATAGAAACCAAAAATGCGTTAGTATTATTTTGATGAATATGAGCAGTCTTAACTCGGAGTTCATACATTTCTCACACGTTGCACTTGGAGGAAAAGGGGCAATGTACATGGGAAAGGATTCTTCGGAGCCTCAGAGGTTGTTTGAAAAATTCCTTTAAAAAGGTTAATATCAGATAACACTACACTCTCTACAAGATCTTTTCAGATAGAGAATAGTGGCCTTTTTGTTGCTCCAAGGTCAGTTGGTCTCAAGAAGACAAGCAGAAGGAATGTCCCAGATTGTCGTCTAGTCGTAGCAGCCTCCCAAGGTACCAGGGGACAGTTTACGGTTGAGTCTGTTCCTTACCTCTCTCCTTCGCTCAAAACAACACAAGAAACTAGTACTTTTCCACAGTGCCCTTGTCCATGTTCATTATTTGACTTTGCGTTTCTTTTCACAAATCACAAGGGCGCACTGCATGGTCGACACGATGAAACTTTCACGGGCTTAAACAAACGGAAGAAAAATCATTATGGCTACCTCTTGGAGCATAGAAAATGCCGAGAGAAAACTTCAAGAATGGATAAACATTTAGGGAAAATACTTTAAAAACGCAATAATATGGATATATAACTATGGATGGGGCGCCCGGGCCTGGCATTACACGTCAGATCCAACACACGGCCACGGGCAAGAAAATGATGTGACCACCACTAATAGCTGCCAGCCCAACAACACGGAAGGAGGCTACAGAAATTTTCCTGTCTGGCTTTTCTGCCATATATCAAAACTGGGTGCTTCTGTTCTGGTCAAATGCAATTTGCAGGTATGTTGTCGGTGCTTCTGTTCTGGCTACAAGCGTGCGTGAGGAGCTAGATTACTGAAATTCAGCCACAGGGTCAGGGCGCAGGGACAGTCCATTTGTCCATGCCCCGTAGCCTTTCTGTTATCCGCTTATTCTTTTCTCCAAATGCTAGTGCCCTAGTAGTACTATTACTATTTTGTGCATAGCCCTTTTAGGCTGGGCACTACTACCTACCTAGTATGCTCTGATGGAAGTTGAGAGTACTTGGATCTGAATGCTGGCAAAGTATATAGCCTGTCATAGTAGCATTAAGAAGAAGGGGTACCAGTAGTAACTGAAATGTCCTGTTGAACTGTTAGTGCGGCAAGGCCAGTGGACCTGCATCATCAAAAGAAGCACATGATGAACAATGTAAGACGTAACAGCGGCATTTTGGATTTCCATCAGTACATCAAGATAAAGAAAATATGAGGCGATGTTTTCAACATTTATCGTAGGTAATTTACATTTTAGATCTGTAAATGTGGCAGTCCGACATCGTGCATTTCATACAGAATGACAGCAGCAAACCAGAAACCATACAATACCTAGCATGATCAACAGCTGACACAAACATCCACTATCACATTTCACCGGATGCAGCAGTGGCACACAACAGAACCAACAAAAATGTTTGTGCGTGATATACCAAGAAAAATACAACAACAACGAGAATTAACTACACATGTTACCCTGCCAAAAAAAGATACTCCCTCCGTTTCAAAATAGATGACTCAACTTTGTACTAACTTTAATACAAAGTTGGGTCATCTATTTTGGAACGGAGGGAGTACATGTTGACACTTGTCAAACATAAGGCCTAAACAAATATATAGTCCCTCCGTCCGAAAAAACTTGTCCTTCAAATGGATGTATCTAGCACCAAGTTAGTGTTAGATACATCTATTTGAGGAACAAGCTTGGGGCAAGTTTCTTCGGACGGAGGGAGTACTGAAAAAGTTTGTTTGATGTCTGGCTCCACTGATGAGATGGGTTCAACCCGGTGGTGGCATATCTGCTCCTAACTCTACTTTCAGCCAAAAGTTACCCAGAAATGATATGATTATTTCTTCTGAAAGACACAGAGAACAATGGTAGCATATAGGCCAAGGAGATAAGTACAGATTTTGTCTATCAGAACCAACTGCTGATTTATACTGTAGGTACAAAGCAGCTACACTATTATAATTTGTCGGCAAGGATAGCATAGCACGGCACTTTAAAGGCCGACACGCTTCTCGACCTTCTGGATCTGATTCAAGAATATCCAAGTCATCTGCATACAAGATGTCATTAAGTAAGTTTGATAGACATGAAGTTGAAGAGTTGACTATTAAGTAGAGAAACACCATGTATTAGTTGCATTACCATGACATGTGGAGCAATCCTGACACAGTAGACCGGAAAGCCAGTGTAGAACTTAAATGGACCACCACTCTTCAAGGTCTTCATTGCACAGTCAAGAGACCCAGTGTATGGATACTTTCCAGTAGCATCAGGTTGCATCTTCTGAACCTGTGTCTTAACATAGTCGAAGGGCAAACTGCAAGCAGACGCGAAGAATCCTGAAACAGCACTGGCCCCTACAAGAGAAATTCAATATATCATGTAAGGAATGAGTAGAGCAAACATGAGGATAATGGGAGTATCAGGACCATGTAGTTTTAATAACAGAACGAAAAGACAAACATAACACGGTGAAAAACTACAACAAAAAAGACTGACATCAAAGTGTGTAATGAAAGGCATGTGAATGAACAGTTATTTCGGTAGCAGTGCACTGCTTACTTGACACATGTGATACAAATCTGTTTATATTTTTATGGAACAATGGCAAGTAAGGTCCATGCAAATCTGTCAACCGGAGCACAAACTAAGCAAATGGAAGGCTAGTTTCAGCATGCCTATCATCATGCAGCTAGTTTCAACAGGTCAGCAGAGCATTGAAACCTATAGGTTTTCTTTTGAAATAAAATTGACTGAAATGCTGCCTCATCTATTAAGGAAGAGTGAGTTACGCATACAGATGGGAAGATGCACCTTGCGACATGAGGTCGGCTAACGAACAAAGCAAAGAACCCTGCTAGAAATCCAGAGATCTTAACTCAAGTTTAGAACATGGCGTGATAGTTGAGGTGTCCATGGTACTTCTACACTGAATCATTTCTCGGTTCTAACATTTTATTCTTTATTCTCCTCCAGACAATGCACTGAAGATGCCAGAGTCCAAGGCCTATAGATAGCATGACCAGCATACCACTCTGATTCACGTCTCAAAATGCACAGCTAATTCTCAGAAGAGAAATGATAAAACATAAATATTGCATCAAATTCAATGAAACTAAAATAACCTTACCAAGCATTGTAGAAAGTTCACCAGCACCAAGTTTGTCTCTAAGTACCTCAACACTCTGATCATAGGAGGCAAGCATGCCCATGTTTAGTGACATCGCTCTAGCTACAGTTGGACCTGCGCCCTTCCAAAGTGCCAGAACACCTTCATCAGCAATAATACGATAAAGTGCATGAAAAGCATTCTTATAGTGGCGGCGCTGGGCTGCTGGCAAGGTTGAATCAGCCTGCATCCTAATGAGTGCCAAATCCGCAGGACTACCAAAACACGCTCCAATCGCTCCAGCAGTGAGACCAATAGCAGCCTTCTGGACTAAGGGCAGTGGTTTTCCTTCGTTTGCTTCAACTGCTTTATTTGTGAGAACCCTGAGAAAATACAGCGTGAAGACATAAAATTGATTCAAACATTGAACAGCAGCTAGTGTAGTTAGGATCTAACTTCTAAGATAAAACAGAATCAAAATAGCTGACAGATTATGTGTAAGTGATTTTCCTGAATACTCTTTATAGTAATAACACGACAGATAACATATCATCTGCCTTGCAGTTAGTACAGAGTGATGTAAAAAACACAATGGTTGATGTTGTATGATGGCTTCAACTTAAATATTTTATTCCATCTCCAGGAGTGATGAGTCTTGCAGCTTCAACCTTACCTTAGTATCAGTATTTCCTCTTGGAAATCTTTTCAATAGAACTCGATAAATCATGAATAAACCATTGTTGATTCAGAAGTTATCCTACAATTGATGGGTCATGCCAAAGTGCGCACTTAGATGGTAAAAAAATGCTTATCTGTACAACGACCAACGATAGGTAGCAAGCATTACCATAAAATGTTATTAAAAATATCTAAACTACTGTTTATGCATGAGACATAATCATTTGATACAAAATGGTATTTCACGCCGTTTATGCATTTTCCATTCACCGGCTTA